CTGCCAGGATGCCCCCTTCCCTACCTTTCGAAGTCGATATCCACACAGCCGCCCCTGTTCTGCATCCACCAAATAGAAGAAGATGGAAGGGGCCAGCTCATGTAGCTGTCGCAAGACATTCCGAGTGGCTGGGAAAGCTGTGACCTTGAAAACCCCAGAGAGCCCAAGAAAAGAGTTAAAGGAGAAGGTTAGGAATGTCTAAGCCGTTTCTCAATGCTCATTACTATTGCCCACCAAAGAGAACCTTAAGAATAAAACAGCAAATCTTAAAAGAATTAAAAGTCTACTGAACTCGGTTAGGGCTTAAACTCAGTTCTGTTAAGACCCTGAGTTTTCACAAGTGCAGAAAGAGTGATCAAGTCGCTTAGATGCCCTTCAAGCCCAAACGAGCGCTGACTGCGGATAGCTCCCATGTCTGGTATACGGGCTGCTGTCTGACCTCCCCTCCCCTACGCCCGCCTCCCCTCAAATGTTATCCAGCCACTCTGAGGATGTCATACCTTGTACTCATCATCTATCAACAGCAGCACCTTGGCATAGTCTTGATCCATGATGGGGAGAAGCAAAGACTGCAAGATGGGGCGCTTCAGCACTGGGGGAGCCACCTGACTCCACTTCCCAAAAATGGGATTGAAGACATAGAGAGAACTCATGCCTGTCTCCTGAAACAGGCAGTCAAAGTGTCAGCCTCCACCAACATGGAAAGAATGCAAACCCAAGGGGGAAATCTGGAGAGCTGGGGTTCAGCTCAGCTGTACCAGACTCCTCTGTTTTTGCCCTCCTTGTGGAGAATAGTCTTGGCTGACGGTGAATGGTCCCTGAGGCTAATGTATCAAAAGGAAAAACAGTCCATCTTCCTCTTGACTCCAAAGCTAACCAAGAGCTGGGCATGCTGAGGAACCAATAAAACAGTCAAGAACCAATTCAGCAACCCCAGGGCAGCCATGCCAGCAGAATGCCTCCCAGCCCCCCTTTCTAACAATACCAGAATGAACCCACAGAAATCCATCTAACTCTGTAAGGAAGTTATGTTACATAAATAGCTTTATGTCCCGCTCTCCCTCATCTAGAGACGAGAAAACAGCTGCTCAGCTGCTAACAGTGTCCATGTTTGGGAAGACGGTGAGCTGGTTACTAGGGATCTGGTGAATCCCACCCACTTTCCAGTCAATCCCACATCAGTCCTGGATGGTTCTCCACTCAGGCCAAAAACTGGAAGAAACACAGCCCTAACCCCTCAATACCCATCTTTAATCCCCACAGAATTTCAAAGGCCTCGGAGAAGTTTAAATTATGAAACACCAAAAAGCCACACCACTTTGACTCAGATGCGAGGTGGCCTCACCTTGTCCTTTACAAGCAGGGTGCACTGTGGGGGGTGGGGGAAGTGAGCGGTGGTTCTCTGCACCATCAGTTTAAAGGAGGACTCTGGCTTGACATTGGGGAGATACTGTTTCCACAGGATGGTGCCAGAGCTGCTCTCAATGCCAAAGAGCTGCAAGATAAACAAACAACTGGCTCACTCCTAGAAAGACAAACCTAAGAACTGATTCTATCCATGAAAATTAGAACGGGCCCTCCCCGCTACCGCTCCTGGCACCCGAGAAGGTTTGGTATCTGGCGCTTAACTCCTTCTCACCTTGCCTGAGGCTGTCACCATCACCATCATCTTCTGGAGGTTGAATTCATCTCTGGCCAGGGTGTCAATGTTGATCTCATTCTTAATCTGACTTCGGGGCTTCCGAGCATCGTAGAACATTTTCCAGAGGTGGGAAGTCCACGCCTGCAGCAGGATGAGCTGGGACGACAGGCGTTTCAGGAACATCCCCAGCAAGCCATCTGGTACCAAGGGAAAGGCAACTGCAGCTGAGGCTTCCGCCCCNTAAGGAAAAGCAAATTTCCTATTAATAAATACAGATCAATTCCATTTCACTAAGAAAAACTGTCCATGAAACACATGTATATGTGTCCATTCAGCTGTTTATACAGTATTGTAAATACATAGAAAGGACAGTGGGAAGATGCACAGCCAACCCGACAGGTGGTCCACCTGGGGAAGCAGCTGGGAATGGGGCTGAAAGGGTCCGTTCACATTTTGCTTGCGCAGTTCTGTGTCAATTTAATCTTTTATAATGAGAATGGATTCATGTATTATTTAAATTTTACTTAAATAAGACTTTTTATTAAGAACAAGTAAGGCTTCATTGCCACGGGCTCCTGTGAAAACACCAGAACTCACTAAAAGACCCCCAGAGGGTAAGGTCCCCAGTAAACTCGCTTGGCGGTCACAGACTGTCAGACACGCTTGGCCTCGTCCCCATGTACGCCCTGCCTCCTTTGTCTGCCCTTGGCCATCGTGGACTCCGGTGACACCCTCAGGATGCCCACGATTCACGACACCCGCACTACAGCTCCTTCCCTCTAGCCACAAAGAACCGTCTCCTTCAGGGTCTCCTTTTTATCAGCTTGGAAGGACAATTTTTTTCACCCACAAGGGTAAAGAATGTATTTCTGGGTAGACCACTTCCTATGCTGTTTATGGTAAAGATTGGCTGCTGCAAAATGTCAAAAAGGGCACTGCATTTTTAAAATAACAACAGGTGAAACTTCGATGGCATTTCCCATGTGCTGGGCATAATGTGACTTACAGGTATTAACTCCCCGGCTCTTTGTAATAACCCTGTGAGGGAGGTACTGTGATCATCTTTTACAGACGAGAAAACAGAGGGCCAGAGAAGTCATATGCCTAAGGTCACAAAGTTAGTGAGGAACCAAGGTTTCATGCAGGCATCTCGGCTCAAACTCTCAACCTCTATACTACAGGGCCTCTGACAAGGCCCTGCGGGACAGGAAGGAAGGGCCGTCTGGTGAGGACACGCCACAAACTACTCCTCTACACAGCTCTGCTAACGAGGCCAAGACCAGGCCCTTGTGAACCTCCAAGCTGGATTTCAGAGCCAGGGTATAGCACTGTTTGCAAGGGTTGGACTCAAATATGTCAGGATCAGAACAAATCAATCCGATTTCTAGAAATAAAATTCAAAGCACACATTCTATCAGAAGTGGGTTAATAACATCATCTTCATATAGTAAGTACTATTGGGCC